CACAAACGAATGCCGTGCTTCCATGAGCGTCAAATCCCGCCGCAGATGGGAATACATTGCAATCAGTTGAAAGCTATTTGCGTCCCTTTATGAAGCTGAAGGAGCCTAGGAGCGTCACAACTGCACGCCACGGGACCCTGACCAAACGTCGCTCCTGGACGATTATGGAGTGAGAGTGTGTTGTCCCAATAGCCAGTCGGTGCCTGCTGCTGAGCGTGGAAGTGTGGTCTGCCACAAGTGGGCGGCAGGGGCGGGGCTGTCAGCATAAGCTTGTAGATGGTATTTTAAACTCGATGTGCTCTGAAACTACGGGGCAGCCGAGGGAAAAAAATACACATGCGTTAATCGTGTTAAAATAATTAGTGGTGTTAATTTTTTTTTGCGTTAACGAGTTATTAACGCGTTAAATTGACAGCCCTATTTCCTATTTATACAAAACATGTTTCTGAATTGTTTGGCTAATGGTTACACATTCCAAAAAATCGTTATGACATCATAAAGTAGCCAAAATCTGATCAGCTCATTTTCAGACAGGTTTTTATATACAGTAAATGGATCAGGACAAAAAGAGAGAGAATCTTTTTTTCCACATGTTCATTTATAAAAGACATGAACAAGTGGATTGTGCACAATAGGTGACCTTTAAGATCTATATTTTATTTATCCCATCTGCCTAAAGTAGTATTTTGTCCCAAATATACACTGATTTATTTGGATTAATGTACAGTTTCATGACGCAGGGCTTTCTGTCTTAGATTTAAAGGAGTTGCTGTATCAGCTGGGAGTTGGACAGGAAGCAGGGATGCACTCCCACAACAGGAAGAGGTGGAGCTCACATAAAGGGGATGGCTGTAACCATGAAACTGGAGAAATAAGCAAAGACTGGGCAAAGGTGAGGTTAATGTTTTATTGTAGTTAAAAAGAGTGATTCCTGTACAGAAAAACAAGCTGTGATCTGCATGCAGTCAGCCTTGATTTGAAGTGCCTCCTACTCATCCACAAAATTCTCTCTTCCTTTGAATGTAATCAGGTATGTTTTTCCGCCAATCAGCTGGTGGATATTTTTGCTCTGGATCCTCATTTGCCAATTTCCAAGGAGCAATTCAGGCAAACATTCAGCAGTTGCTAGGCAATGCCTGCGAGACTGCAGAGCAAACAAGAAAAGGATCTCCTCCCACTGCTCTCGAGAGTAAGGCCTTTTCCCTCATGTACCTACAGTAACTATTAAACACATTCCAAAAGAAGAACTGTACATTAATTAAATATTATAACAATTAAAATATGAAGGATCTTGTTAATAAAATATATGGAATGAAAAAAATAACCATGAGAATTAGAAATCCAGTTCTTACATTTTACGTTTAATATAAACTATAAACATATATTCATAATTGTCTTTACTTTCTTCCAGAATTGTATGTATTTGCTGATCCTACTTTTGTGTCTTAAGATTTGTACTATATTTGATGTGTTCTGCATAACAGGTGGGTTCATCCAGATAAAAGTGAAATATAAAACATGTAACCATTGTATGAGGTTCAAGGCTTATATTGTCATTTGTACATAGCTACAGTGTAGTTATGACAATAACATTCTTAGGTCACAGGCTCCTCCAACAGTGCAACACAATAAAACAGGTAATAGTGCAAGTAAATAAAATAAAATGGAATATAATAGACATTTAGCAGAATAGTCTATACAAGTAATTGGAATATTGATATATATAAGTTGTAAACGGATGAATGTTATGGATGTTCTTTCAAAAGTTCAGGTGTTTAACAGTCTTATGGCCTGTGGGATGTCCCTTAGTCAGAGGCGAGGCTATGATCATTAAAAAAGTACAACCTTAATAATGAGAAACGGAAACATGTTTCTAAACGGTCTGCTCCCTGCAGAGTATGGCTACAGCACGGCGGCCGTCCTGCTCATCACGCTGGGCTCCATGTTTGGTATCTGCCTGATCTTCTTCAACTCCTGCCAGGAGACCTACACCCTGATCCTGCAGCTGTTTGTAGGGCTGGCAGTGGGGACCCTCTCAGGAGACGCACTCCTGCACCTCATACCACAGGTATAGGACACAGAGTCAAGTGCCGTGAGTGTATAGAAACCCTGTTGACTGAGGAGTAAATGTCTAATGGTTTCCTCTCCGTCTCCTCTGGAGATCCTTGGCCTCCATGATGACACTCACAGCCACGACGACGAACACTATGCAGAAGGGAAGGACTATCTGTGGAGGATTCTGGGAATTATTGCTGGGATTTATGGCTTTTTCCTCATTGAAAGAATCCTTTCCTTTTTGGTTCCTTCTCATGGCCATGTAAGTTTTGCAGCTTTTATCTTGGTAATAAAACAGATACTCAAACCATGGGGGGTGAAAGGCAAGGCGATGTTGATTTTCTTTATCTATCCAGAGGTGGAAGTTTTACAGTTTTCCATGAACAAGCAAGTTTGTGCCGAGTCTGAACTTTTGCAGAGCTGATTGTCGAGAAACGGTGGTCTCATGACTTTCTTTTGTCCACAGGGTCATAGTGATCTTCCCTTAGAGCTCAACTACAACGGCCAATCCCAGAGGGGCAAATCCATCTCCACCATACAGCTGGTGAGTCACCACACTGAACTGCTTTGTTTTTTTATTATTTTACTTGGCAGGAAGAACCTGTTTCCCGTCATCATCCCTGTTATTTATTTAGTTGGAAAAGATGCAGGGAACATGACACAGCAGTTCCTTGAAGTTAAACAGCTAAATATTACTGCTGCAAGTGGCTAAAGGAGAGTATTTTTTTTATTTTAACACTGTATTAGGTTAGTTGAAAGCAATAATATTAAAATTATTAAAACATTTAAAATAACTTAATATTATTATTATTAGTTTTTTGCGTGATAGTTAGTAATCTTTTAGCTTTAATAACATTCCTTTGTAATCCTCTATGTGTATATGTTTCCTCCTGAACACGAGATCATTCCATTGTTCTATTATAATATATTGTCACTGTTCACAATAACATGACATTCTCTCCTAAAAAACAAGAATCAGTTATGGTAGCGGAGTTAAAGCATTGGTTAAATATTGTGTTTACTGTGCTGTGCCACTGTGTAGTTATGAAGTCAATATATTTCCATTCGCCCTGATGATACTCTACTCCCACACTACTCCTCCAACCAAGCATCAAGACAGAACTGAAGCACTTGTTCTAAACAGTGGAGTTCTGCTAGAGGGCACTGTTGAAAAAACCCTTCAATTACATCACGATCCTAACAGCACACATACAG